AGTCACCGGGGGCATCTTCTCCCTCGGAGGGATGACTATCACCAATCAATTCAACAGCTTTAGCTGACAAACAACAGAAGGAAACCATGTGGGGCAAATGTGCCGAAACAGGCGCTATTTTGTCATTCTCTGCTGCTGTGATTGTGGATTCAATTTCCAATCTCTCTCTCTCTCTCTCGCCCACAGAACCAGCCTGTCTCATTCCTGCTTCTATCGACAGCTGACCTGTAACCAGTTGGAGAGAGAGAGGAGCAAATGGAAAGGGAGCAGCAAGAAGGAGGATGAGCGAGAGAAAGCAGGACCCGAGAGATTCCTCATGCCCATTGGGAGCCCCTCGCTCTGCAGACTGCTGATTTAAAAAAGAATAAAGGGGACTTTGCCTAAAGAGGCCCAACAGGATTTTGACTTCTCTTCAGCGTGTTGTCCTTTAGCGGGAGTCCTCCCTTTTGTCTCGGGAGGAGCTGTCATGACAGTACTCTGAAAATAGAAATAAGTTCTTTTTTTATCCATTTTACCCAGAATCCAACTACTGCTTTTTACCTAAAACAATTATTTGCCATGGAGAAGACATACTCACTAACTGCCCACTATGATGAGTTCCAGGAAGTAAAATACGGCGGTCGGTACAGCAGTGACATCCTAAGCAATGGCATGACCCTTCACCTGGGGGGCAGCCTGGACCGCCATATGGGGCGAAGCCGAGGAGGCACTTTGTCAAACGGTCGAAACAAAGATCCAAGCAACGCCAGCAACAGTGGAGGGCTTCCTCGATGGAGCCGGAGGGAGATCTGCCTCCTCTCTGCACTGGTCTTCGCTGCAGGCATGTGTGTTATCTTGGGGAGCATGCTGGCACTCAAGTACATTTCCCTGGACGCCCAGCAGGACCCACAGTGCCGACAGGACTGCCAACGCAAACGCTCCCTGCTGCGCACGGCTCGCTTCGTTCAGTCCAATATTGACCCAACCATCCAGCCCTGCCAGGACTTCTACTCGTTTGCCTGTGGCGGTTGGTTGAGGCGCCACGGCATCCCAGAGGACAAGCTCAGCTATGGCATCATCACGGCTATAGGGGAGCACAACGAGGAGAAACTACAGCACCTCCTTCTGGAGCCAGTACGGAGGCGTGGGCACAACTCTGCAGAGCGCAAGGTCAAGGAGTTCTACAGATCTTGCGTCAACATCCAGGAAATCGACAAGCTGGGCTCTGACCCCATGACGGAGGTGATAGACAGCTGTGGGGGGTGGGACCTGGTGGGGGCTCCTCCGGGTTCTGCTGGGTGGGAGAGCGATGGTGCGCCACAGAGGCCGGACTTCGATGAGCTATTGTACAGGACACAGGGCGTGTACAGCACTGCCGTCTTTTTCTCCCTCACTGTCAATGTGGACGACAAAAACTCCTCCAGGAACGCTATCAGGGTGAGAAGAAGGATGATTGGAAGCTGTGTGTACTTGTGAATGCATGATGTGAGTTAATGAAGCCACAAACGTGGTGTCAATGTTAATTTTATTTATGTAGCACATTTTAAACAACTTGTTTGACCAAAGTGCTTCACAAAGTATAAAAGAAAGGTTGTAAAAGTATTGATTGTTAGGTGGAAAGAAGACAGTCATGGGAGATTGAAGGTTTGTTCAGACGAAACACAAAGTGAATTTCACATGATGTATATGAATTTGTCCACTGGTGAGACTCCTTTAGTTCCTGTGCCTTATTATGACCTAAAGTGTCGGAGTGAATGCAAAATTCACTTTGCATTCACTCCGAACACGCCTTAATACTCAAGCCTTTATTTAAGGTGCATCAACAGCTCTGAAACGAACCAAACGTTTCTTGTCAGGTTAGCTGTGCAATACCGGATCTGAGTCACAGTTCAGCTGAAACGTCCAATAAATAAAGCTGTGAGTCTCAGACAAGCCTCATAGACCAACCTTTATTAAAGCAAAACTGAGATTAAATAACAGATGAAATGTCACTCCAGTGCACACGCTGCAGGAATTATTTATGAAGGTCATAGATAATTTATGTGTTTAGCACATGTGTCACAGCTTGCACAAACTGGCATCATTACAATCGTTTGAAAATACATAATATGTTACATATGTGACTATCTGACCGTGTGTGTGTGTGTGTGTGTGTGTGTGTGTGTGTGTACAGGTTGATCAGGAGGGGCTCACACTCCCAGAGAGAAGCCTCTATCTGGGACAGGATGAGGACAGTGTGAAGGTAAACATGCCTCATTTATTTTGGTCAGTTACACATTTTGTTGTTATTCAGACTAAGTCTCACCTTTAATTTAAGTTGGTTTACATCAATATATAAAGGACTGTGTGGGAGTCACACAGTTTAATGGGCCAAAATCCTTTGCTCACTAAGAGGAAAGACAGTGTCCCGTACTCAGTGTGTGTGGAGCGGCCCACATATGGAGGCATGACTCCTCCTGCAGCAGCCAGGCTCCAACCTGGCCGTTTGCCGTCCTCCCCGACAAACGATCTTAGAAGAAAACCACTGCAGTCACTGACCTGCAAAGTTTTCAACCACAGACCATCAGCAAACACTCTACCCTGGAGAGTCACTGTCAGAGCATCGCTGCAGCTGTCCTCCACCGGCTCTCTGCTTTTAGCCTGGGCCTCAGAAGAGGAATGAGACTACTGACCTCAGCCTAAACTCTCACCTCTCAATCGACTCTGAGCCATGTGTGAGCTCTTTTGAGCATTAACTATTGTTGAGACAACACAGCGGCCTGAGAAACATTAGTGGCCAAGTGTTCAATTACATTTGAACCCTTTTAATTTGGGCAGTATTTGTTTTAAGGGCTTAATCTCACACACGGCTCTTTCCACACTGACGTTCACCCACTCAAATGAAAGCTGACACTTGGCACTTTAATGTAGTGTCTATTATTTAATTTCAAATTTAATGTGCTGAAGCACAGAGCCTGAAGAGCAATAACTGAGCACATACTGAAGGTCTGGAAAGTATTTAACTAACCCTTCCCTGTCCATCCCTCCTTCCCATCATTTCATTTTCTCTCACTTTTCCCTCTGCTATCGTCCCCTTCATCATCTTTCTTCTACCTTTACCTCAAACTTGAAGCTCTTTAGGTTCTTTCCCTCCTTCCTAACCTCCCCTCCTACCATTCTCTTCTCTTTTCTTCCTCTTCCACTCTGTCCTTCGTTTTCTCTCATCTACCGTCTGTCTTCCTGAACCATCTCTCTCTCGTCTTCATCAATCCACCTGTTTTCCTCTGTCACCCGCTGTGCTTTTGTTATCCTGTCCACTTTGCCACATGTCAGCCCCCGTCGCTGGCCATTACTGATGATGTTGCGGCTCCTCCTGCCTATTAACGCTGATGTCGCTGTGCTTCTCAGATCCTGGCGGCGTACAAGGCCCTGATGGAGCGCTTGCTGAGCATGCTGGGAGCTCAAGAACCCACGCAGAAGTCCAAGGAGATTATACAGCTGGAGACTCGTCTGGCCAATGTGAGCTTATTGCGTGTGCATGTGAGAGTATGTGCGTGTGTGCATTGTTGTGTAAAATCTCCTCTCTCTCCAGATCACTGTGTCAGAATATGATGACCAAAGAAAGGACATCAGCACCATGTACAACCGCATCACCCTGAGGCAGCTACAGCGCATTGCTCCTAGTGTGGGTACTACACACACACACACACACACACACACACACACATAGTACATAAACATAATTTATGATATAATATGGAGGGGGGGGTTGATGGACACAATGGAGGGAAGGGACGGAAGGAGGGGGTGAGACAGTGGAGACACAAAGAGGGAGAAACAAGAATGTGGAGGCTCTCCTCTGAAGCAGCGAGAACACCAACAGAGAATCGTCAAGATGAACGAGGAGTGGAGGGAGGGAGGGAGGGATGGGAGGGATGGGAGATGGAAACTGGGAATGTGCTGGGAGAAAGAAAAAGAGTTCTCAGCCAAAAAATGAGACTGCACACATTGAAAGTGTGGAAACAAGGGGTGTGACAAGGATAAGGAGAAACATGGAAAGACATAGATCAGACATTTTAAGATTCAAGTAGGGTAGAGAGAGAACACTGCAAAGTTGCTTCAGTGTGTTGCTGCCCAGGAGCGTGTCACTCATGATTTGTGGAAAAAAATAGTCACAAGGATGCTGCAATTATAAGGAATCGCACTAAGCATGAACATGCAGCAATCAGCCTTATACCGACGCCCCAAGTTATTGTATGACCTATGAAAATAGGATTTTGAATACATTTTTTTTTTAAGCATAATTTATGTCTAATAAATATAAATAGGAACATATGCAGTAAATGAATCATTAGACAAAGACAAATCTCAGGAATGTTGTGCTCCTAACGTTGACCTCCTGCCAGCAGCAAGCTCTGAGCCCCTTTGATTAAGGACCCGGTCACAGGCAGACCTGAAGCAAGGGCAAATTTTTAATGGAGGGACAGCAGCAGCAGCCGCGAGGGTTGTACAAGCTATTTTCTTTTCCAGTGTTGCTGCTTGCAGCCTTAGCTCCTAAACGCCTATTTAATCTGCCCAATTCTCTGCTGCTGTCTGAATCACCATCTTCTGCATCTTCGTCTTCATTTGAGTTGAATAGCCAATATACTGAATTGAATTTAAAAGTTGTAACACTACACAGTACACGTAGTATTATTTCAGGATTATTTAATGTATGATGTGACTGTAATGAAGTTCTGAGGTTCATGTCTCTTCAAAACTGAATTCCAGTTCCAGTGCCATTCTAAACCTGCCTGTTTGGAATGGGCTGTTCACTTGGTCTGTGGTGATGCTGGTTACAGCTCAAACTGAAAAAGTGATTTTCAGTAATTAAACTGCAGCAACTAAAGACCTGCCGCTAAACTCAGTCCACAGGATCCTGGAGCTGCACCACCGCTGCTGCACACAGAGCTGTTCACTTGTTCATGCAAAGTTCGGTGAAGCTCGACTCGGCTGGAGAATCCGATGCTGCCGTTGTCTTGTCTTGGCCGCTGCCGCTACAGAAAGCTATTCGCCTGTTTATTCAAAGTGTATTAGTGTTAAACCTGTTGCTTGTCCAAATCGCACCAAATTCAACAATGCACTTTCTTTAGCGATAAATTTACCAAGTGTGGAGCTGATAAGATGTTGTGTTCTCGATATCTGCAGAGGTTTCCTGAATTAGTAAATAGATTTTTCCATTAGGTCTGTGCACACTGTGCATCTTTCCTGGAAGAGATAGACAGAAACTGACTTGCTCACTTTTTCCATTTCACAGTTGTGATATGATATCAATAGCTCCTCTTAAAGTAACATCACTTGGGGAACAAAAATTGCTTTTTGTCACAAAAGCAATAACAAAGAAATTGTAGCCGGTGTTAA